ATAACTCAAATTAATTAACAAATTAATAATTATTATCAAATTATACAACTACTATAAATATAACCAACTTTACCTGGATATACATACAGTAAAAATGTAAACTATATTATTGCACAGCTCTATACATAAAGCTGTGTATATATTGTATTCAGCTTCATTCGCATGCAAACAGTAGAGTCGTGTAAAGCGATAAATGTCACTGAGTGACATTTCATTCACTAAATGTGTTGTACGCATCAGCTGCACACTCCCTACATTAAACAACAAACCACAGGAACACACACCCTATAATAGCTGCACAATGTACAAAAACCACATGTTCACCACTGCTGTACACTTAACTACCCAAACATGATTTACAGTCATAGTCTGTGATGATCATATACTTCTCTGCATTCTGATAAACTACCACAAAAGAACAAACCCCTTGGAGGAAAAGTGTAAGATAAATGTGCCAATCTTTAGAGATTTCTATGTTTAAACGACATCTGTTATGGTGGACTAACCTCTGAGTACTGCTGTAGTTCTAGTAAGAAGAATGTTTTGCTAATGTTCCCATTAAGTTATGAAAACGTTATTTATGACTGTTTAAAATGTCCACACTTTTTTTGGTTATGCAATGTTAAGGGACTATTCCAGTTGATAATTTTGCAAACATAATGGGAATGTTAAAAATGTTCTATGAATGTTCTGAAACAAGTGATAACGTTTAAAAAAATGTTCCATGAATGATGCATAAATAATGTTTTTGTGCTAACATTCTGAGAACATGAACAAACGTGTTAACATTACTGGTTTGTTCAAAACTTTGAGAGAACCATCCTAGAATGTTCTGAGAACGTTCCCTGTCATCCGGGTTCATGCTGTCGCTATCTATGGCAGGCTCAGTTACTGAACAGCGCTGAATAGTTGGTGGGTTGCTCAGAAAATAGGTTTTGATATGTAAATGGCATAACCATGACAAGTCGTTTTTGCAGCTTAGTTTCCTGCAGTACTCGATTTGAACTGTGCCGTCCTTGTATTTTGCATATGGGTTTTGTGAGCCAATCACTTGAGCTGTTCATGCCATGTGACTAATGAGTGTGGAGCTTCAAAATGACAACACTGATTGGCTGATGACCACAAGATGCACATATGGGCTGCGTCTGAAATCGTATGCTCTCTGAGTGGGTACTTCTTTCGAATAAGCAGTTACTTTGCGACTGTTAAAAAAGTATGTTCTATTTGGTGTGCATATGTGTAGTAATGTCATTTGGATGTACTACATTCGTCATGTTGTCATTGTCATGTAATCTGCCAGCATTAGTTGCATTGCTTTACTGCTGTTCACAAATCCTCTCCCATGGCCTCATGAGATAGCAATGTGTCCATCAGATGTGCAATTCAGAATCTCAGCAGAAAAATACTTTTGCCTACTGTTTTATGAATACTGTGAATTCGGACATACTACTTTTCCCCCCTACTATATAGTAGGGAAGTGTCCGATTTTGGATGCAGTCTTAATCCCAAACTCTGAGCTGTGATTAATAGGTTATTTCATGAAAATTATAGGATATGACATTACATTTATGCCATAAAAGTTATTTATATAATTTCCCTGCAGCTCCAGAGTGATTAGGGGTAAAAAGTGAACTACTTTGGATGGTTTTCACAACCAGATGGTATAGTTACAGCATCATACTAACTAGCAAAACCCCTTGATGCTGAATTATCTATAAGCAATTCCAACCAATCCGTTTCTTGGAGATGATCTGCCATCCTGTTCTATCATTTCCTGGCATTCATGCAGCACATAAAACAAGTCATGAAACGCAGGTGTCACCGCACTCTCAAAACATTTTCCTCCATTACTAAACTCCTCCACATCAAGAGAAACAAGATGTAGGAAAATGTAAAATGGGCATCTTTCTCCATAACAGATCGAGGCCTTTCTCTTCACTCATACTGGCTCAAAATGTTCACAAGCATGTGTGTTTGTCTGTGTTCTCTGTATCACGTTAACAATGTAAATGGAACAGAGACGCTGTGTATCCTGTTGCTAAACGGCATAGACTTCACCCGTCTGGCTGACACACACCTGTGCTTTGACCCTTTGTACCTGAGTCCCTGAACGGCCACACACCTCGCGTCATAACTGAGCAGATGTGCATGTGCTGACCAGGTTCTCATGTGTGTTTATGTGTGTGCACCTGCTCACATAAACACCTGTGTGCAGTTTTTTTTTTAATCCATGCATGCCCGTTGTGCTCTGATTTACGCTGTCTGCATTTCTGATGTGAATATGTATGAAGCTGTTTATACAAATGAAGATACAATACAGTTCATACGTTTGGGGTCGGAAGATATTTTTTAATGTTTTTGAAACAAGTCTCTTATTGTCACCAAGGCTGTATTATTATTTTTTGGTTCAGAAATACAGCAATAATGTGAAATATCATTACCATTTAAAATAACAGTTTTCTATGTGAATGCATTTTAAAATGTAATTTACTGTCACTTTTGATTAATTTAATGCATCCTTATGCAGCTGAATAAAAGTATTAATTTTGTTCATCAAAATAAAAACTCTTACTGACCCCGAACTTTTGAATGGTATTGTATCTGAACAAACATTTATCTATACCATGGCTAATAGGCATAAAAAAACGCTTCCAGTTTCTGTGCTTGTCAAGCAAATTATGTGGTCATTAATAAGGCCTTATGAATGTTATTGAGTACATTTAGTGCTTTATGAGCTTTGATGGCATCTGTGTGTTTACTATATACACATGTTGTAAATTTGACTGATGTGCATTAGTGTGCATGCGTTTCTCTGAGGTCATGCATGCTCAGTGGCTCTGCACACACTGTATGCAGGCTGCAAATTTGCACATGCAAACTACAGATCTGTGCATGCTGGCTGCAGATCACGTTGGCTGCGGATCTGTGCACGTATGGTTGGTGTAGCGGCCAAACCCTGGCTGCGCAGGTGAGACTGGCTCTGGGTCCCGTAAGAACTCTCAGCTGTTAAAACAGTAGTGTTTCACTGAGAGAGAGAGAGAGCGAGTGAGGGGGAAAGAAAATGCAAAAAAAAAATAAAACTACTTCAGCTGCAACCTCGGATTCTCCGTATCCCTCCCAAACCGCAACGAGCCTGCGGCCTGCCAGAGAGAGCGAGAAAGGTGGGGGAAAGGGGAAAGAGAGAAAGAAAGTAGCTGCACGCTTTACTCTACTGAGCACTATTGTCAGCGGCCAAAACAAGCAGGGTGATGACATCATCAAACCTGAGACCGAACGATTCCTGAAGGCGTTCGTGTGTAGAGTTGAGCGCAGCGAGGTGGAGTCGTATCCCAAATCAACCCGCACACCCTTCAAGTACAATTTACACCGCTGGCCAAGTTTAAACAATATAGCAGTGCAGGGAAGGGAAGAGAAATGCAGTCAGGGCTGTAGGTGCTGTGAGTCGGGTCGACGCTCGAGATTAATGTTCTCTGAAAGATCTACAGGAACAGAAAGTCCCGTCTGTGTGCTGTTGCATGTTACATATGTCACAGTATAAACCTTGGTTTCTACAGCACTCATTCAATGTCACTGTATCTGTCTTGATATGGGAAAATCTTTTCCTAGATCCTCACTCCTTCAAGTTCACATGAATCATTTCAAACCTGTTTTGCATCTAGGGTTGACGCTCCTATCAGTTAAAACCAGTAGGACTTCCTTGGTCACCAGATGCATCAGAAAAACCATGGTGGTTGAGCAGTTTGTGTTTTATCTCACAATTCTGACTTTTTTCATAGAATTGTGAGATATGAACTCAACATTGTGAGACAAACTCAGAAAAACCCGCAACTCTGAGAAGTCATTATTGTGAGATATACACTCATAATTGACTGTCATAATTGACAGAAATTGCTAGTAAATTTCACATTAATTACATTGTAAAACACAATCCAATAATCACTATTTACAACTTCAAATTTTAGGGCGTAACTTGATTTTAGCCATTAGAAGTTGATTGATTTGTAAATGGGGTCAATTCCATTTCTTCTTGTAGAGCATGTGGTTTGTAAATTTCTGTTCTGATTGCATGAGTGCACTAAATCAAATCATATTCCATTGTCTACTGCTTATCGCTATGGCCTTGAGCAAGTGACTGAACCACAGGTGCACCACTGAGAAAAGCTTTGAATGAAACATGTCTGATAAATGTCAACTATCTTCACCTCATCGCAAATAAATAACCTTTAGCACACCTGACACAGGAAAATAAGACTTCGAGACATCTGCGTCCACTGTCGTCTTCTGTTTCACCAGACCCTGAACGACTAATTTAGATTATTATCAAATAAAGTGAATCTGCCTTTAATGACACCAGCCTTGAGAACAAGTCGGCAAACTCGACCTAGTCTCGCTTGCACAATTCCGGCTAATTCTGCACAACTGTCTGAGAATGTTAAAGCTCCGTTTGATGTTTTTCTGTCTCTAAACTGCAGTTTCCTGTCGGAGAAGGTCACATGCGCTCCGCTCTATCCAGACAGCAGATAAGGTGCCAGCTCCATGCCTGCTACAACAACCAACCTTGGGTGTTATTATTAGTAATTTGGTGGGACAGGACCAGACAGCCTCTCTGTCTGCCCGGGGAGCGTCCGGATTCTGGGCAGAGTGGATTATCAGAGGCCCTTTGGTCCCATCCGCAGGTTGGGAAAGGAATGATAACCATCTCAAGATGACTGCCTTGCACAACAAAAAAGAAAGGAAAATACGAGAGTGGCAGACACACCTTTGGAGTGACCTGTTTTCATTGGACATGGCCTTACCTGAGCTGGGTGTGATTGACATCTGTGTCCATGGCAACCCAGAGGGGTGATGTCATAAGATCATTATATATGCAAGACTTGGAGTTTGTCATGTCAAGTGACGCGTGTGGCACACAGACTGCTTTTGATTAATAATTTACCTATTACAACTTAGGCAACGATTCATTAAGAGTCATTCTGCATGATCATTCACAAATGACTTACAAGACAGCCACCGTGGAGAGAAAGGCCCACATCGCTTCCTCCGCGTCCGTGTGGCTCCGTGCGCGATTGCGAAACGGCTCTCCGGGTCACAGCTTCACGTCTGTCCGGTTTGTTTAATCCGTTTGAATGCAGGGTCCGCGGATATTCCCGCTATCGCCGGTGGACTGCATCTTTTCACCGTCAACATGCGGCAAGGGGTCAGCGGGGTGTGAGCGGATGGTCGCGGTGCACGGTCGGTAACGGGCAGGAGGCGGGGCGAAGCTTAAACCTCCGGAGTCTGAGGAACAGGTGAAGCGAAGTTCAAACGCGACCCACACCTATGCGTCGTTTCCGCTCATAAAAACTTTTCGACAGCCAGCAAAAGGTTCGTGCCCAGTGTTTTCCAAGCAGTCCGTGCGTAACTTTTCCTGCCGAAAATGTCCTTCCACAGATAAGGATTAAAACTCCGTGGAGTGCATGCGCACGCATCAGAGTTGGTGTCACTGCTGATCCGCTACGGGCGAAATGACTGCGGGAGGCAGAGCACCTGGACGGGGATGGAACGATGAAGACGCGGCGGCGGCGAGCTGGACTCCGGGTACCGCGGAGCGTGCTCGCTCATGGCTGCTGCGCCGGAGAGACGGCGGCGCGGTTCAGGTCAGATGATGGGGGGAAAGTGAAAGCAGAAGGAAAGCGGCACACGCTCGCAGCTCCCTGCACCTGATTTCTCGGACTCAATTCTGGAGCTCCAGCACAACAGCAGCCAAAACACGGGCCGATGACATCACTTCCAAAATGTTTGAAGGGGGAAAGAATGCAATCTGAGCTTTATATTTATTTTTTTAAATGAAGAAAGTTTGCAGCTCCCCCCAGAACAGCGCAAAAGACTGCCCGAAGAAAGCGCTTCGATCTGTGAGGGAAAACGCGTCTTCTTTTTGCGTATTAAAGCAGGCGATCCGTGCACTGGAAGCAGCGTCCACTTAACCTGCGCCGCCTCCTCTTCCTCAGCCGCTTTCATTCACAAATTCACGTAAAACGTTGGATAGAAAACTAACAAAGCTGGAAAGCGTTTGCGCGGCTTGTTTCATCTCCGGTCGTTTGTCTTCTGAAACTCCACGGCAGAGCGCAGAAATCACTCCAAGAAGGGGGGGCGCAGAACAAGATTTCAGATCAACCAACCCTCCTTCTCCCAGACCCC